CTTCCCTTTGTCTTTCCTCATGCTAAAATCAGTCAACTGCTTTCAAGGGTCACACGTTTTATTCTGGGTCTCTCATTGTTTTTTTATTTTTTATCTAATTTGGTGATTCGTTGATATTGTCTCAGGGCCTCAGCATGGACAGAGAAAGCTGCCAAGCTCCGTCAGGTCATCACGGACGTCGTCCCCGTAGACGTGCACCGGCCTCAGCCTCTGGCCCTTGATGACCTTCCTTCAGCGGGGGCCGACTGTCTCGTGTCCTGCTTCTGTCTGGAGAGCGTCAGCCCCGACTTGGCTGCCTTCAACAGGGCCCTGGGCCACATTGGGAGGCTCCTGCGGCCCGGTGGCCACCTCCTGCTCATCGGAGCCCTGGGAGAGAGTTATTATTTGGGGGGCCCTGGCGTAAAGATCCCTGTGATTCCACTGAATGAGGCCCAGGTCTGTGTTAGTTTGAAGGAGAACGGCTACACCCTGATCAGGCTGGAGGTTTACATACTGCCTCAGGACATGAGGGTGGGGGTCGATGATGTGTCTGGGGTGTTTTTTGCAAAAGCAAGAAAGGAGTAAAAGTTAAGTGGGAAGTATCCAGATGAAATTATTATTGATTAAGCAGAGGTATATGCATGATTTAGCACAGCTGACATTTAAAATAAGAATTAGGTTATTTGTGATGCTGATAATAATACCCACAAATATGTGTTTTGTTTTTTGGAGGTGGGAGGTTGCTTTGATTGTGATCCTCAGTTATTTTAACAAATATTCTTTTCACTCTCAAAGGAGACAAAAATGCAAAGACACAAACATGTGAATGAATTATTTAACTTCATTCCACGTTCTTTCATTGGTCCAGTAAATGTCTTTTCTGAGGGTGAATAAGGAGACGTTCACTTTTGTCAGTTTTAGAAATGTAATTACACATCGCCACCTGCAGTTCAAACTACAGCATCAAGAATGTAATGCATCCATTTTTTGTTTTAGTGTAAGCATATATCACATCATGACACAGCATTTTGCAAGCTGTTTACAAACAGTACATTTTATTATGCTTCTTTTTTCGATTCGCTGTTATTCAGTTCAGAGGTTAATGAGTTGCCTGTCTTGTTCATTTGTGATGTGAATAAAGCTGATAAAACAATTTTTTATTTCATGATGGTTTCTTGTCTTAGCTCTTATATAAATCGTTTCATATATTTCCATTGGTTAATCATTATATTTGCTATGGTATCAACTTAACTGAACTAACCATACAGCTGAGAATATGATTGTGTAATTAATTAGAAGTGTTGAACACTGGGCGTCAGTATTCTGCCATCTTGAGTTGCTCCTCACATACAGTATCAGCCATGGATCAAAAACATGTTATTTTATGTTTCTGATTTGGCTAATGTTAATATTTTACATTGGTCTGTTTGAGTTTATAAACATTTAGCATTCAAAGTTGTGCCCTCCTCTCCGGCAAACGAGCCAATATGCAGTAACAGTATATTCTATATCCAAAATATATATAAAAAACCTTTCCCAGTTGTGCAGCCAAAAAACGACAAAAAAAATAAAAAATAAATCTATTCTGCAGCACTTAATAGGCTATAAATAAAGTGCTTTCCTCCTTTATGCAATTATTAGTAGTGCTGGGCAACGATTACAATTTTTAATCGCGATTAATCGCATGGATTTTTTGCGATTAATCGCGATTAATCTCATTGTTATGGCAAAGTTCAATAATGAATTCAAAAGTAGTGTATTGCGCACTTTTATTTTAAAAGTACTGCTATATGAACAAAAGTGCAATAACATTTGGTTTGCAAACACTACAAATCAGGTGCTTTTTAACAGCAGTATTCCCTTTACACAGTTTGCAGTTCTATCTCTTCACTATCTGTGCTCAGTGTGTGACTGTGTGTGAAACGTTCCACTGCTGTGCAACAGGAATAACATGTTTCAGCACGTTTCATCTAAATGTGTGTCTTGTGTCTTCATGACAGTCAGAGCATGTGAATGCAGCTCTACTGTTCATCAATATAATGCTGTAACTCCAAGGTAATTATGGTTACCCAGCGATCAAAGAATAAAGACACTTTACGCACAATTTAGGTGTATTTTCCCTTTAACTCACGAGATGCAGGTAGCATGTTTTATACTTAATGTGAATATAATTCATACTTTGTTGGCATCTTATTCTGACAACCGGATGTTCGTCAGAAGAAACCGGATGTTGTCTCATGTTAATCTTTCCGCTAACTTTCAAAGTCCTTCGCTCGCTCCCGATCTGTGCCGTTTGAATGCGTTTACGGTGAATTTCAGCATATAGGTGCACTAAAGTGTCAGTGTCTGCTGAGTTGACCACAGAGATCTGAGTGTCTGCTGACTTTACCGCAGCGATGTCCAGTAGTCTCCATTCCTCCACCACTGCCAGTGAGCAATGGACTTTCAAAATTAAAAAAACTTGTTATAAAATAATTGTCGGCGTTAATTAAATAATCCGTTAACGAGATAATAACGCGTTAACTTGCCCAGCACTAATAATAATACGAATGAGTTTCCAAATATATTGTGCAAAATTATTTTTTCTAACAGGCAATTCAAATTAACAAAATATTGGTGGGGACAATTGGTGTCTTTCCCAAACTTTGGTCGTGACTACCCTATGGACCATATGCAAACCTACGCCCTTGACAGACAGTGTTACTGCCGTGTTGTGTTTGTGCTTTCCCTCTGTTTACCCTCAGTGTCTTCTCGGGTGTGACCCTCTGTCTCGGATGCAAGCTGGCAGCGGCTGATTGGACGCAGACAGGGTCTCAGCCGCTGATGTTTGCCTTTCAAGTCGCCTCGAGCCCGGGTCCAATGAGAGTAGCCCAAAGCACATGAGAAAAACACTCACAAAGGTATATAAGGTGTTTGATGGGGTTGCACCTGAAGGCTGAACCACTAAACACGGGTCTTAGTGCAAGGATGGAAGAAAAGGGAACAGAGAAGGGAGTGGCAGCCATGGCGGCCTGCTACCAGGGATTTGATCCTGCAGCGTATCTGCAATATAACTACACTCCACCAAGGGCAGATTTGGAAAGAAAGGACAGCATTGTGCGGTGGAAACTGGCATGCCTGCATAGAGCTTTCACTGAAGGTAAGGCGACGGGGTGGTGGGTCATATAGAATTAAAAAACAAACACTCTATGCTCAATAAAAAATAGCCTATGAAAATGTAAAACATAATCCCTGATTAAAACCTACTATGATATTCTCTTATTGCAAGTTACCTTTCTTTAAATTCCAAGGACTCTTTCCTAAAATCATTTTATTAATATTCTAAACATGTTGTCATACTATAACTGTTAAAGGGTAGTTCCAGATAGAACTGGCACATGTCCAGTGCTGGAGCGTTCAAACGTATACATAATCACACCTTCTAAAACACATCGAACATTTTCAGATATCTGAATAGCAGCTGAATGTTAATCAAGGTATTCTATTTAAAAGA